TAATAAAATAAAACTTTTGCTTATTCAAACATAACTGTCTTTTTCAAAAATTAACTAAAATAGGGTAATTAGCTGTTAAATCCATCACAAATGTTCCTTTTCCTTTTTTAATCTTACATTGTTTTCTACATCTTTTGAGTATGAAACTATTTCTTGTTTGCGATGATAAAGTTACTGATAATTGTAAGTACTTTTCTGCATATTCAAACCTCTAACATTGTATAAACTCTTCAATCACTGATCTCAGGTATACTTCTTACTTCAACCATAACATAAAGTTATTCCGATTTACTTTTTCAGAGTTTGCTTTTATCCATCATAAGCATGAAATTCAGGACAAGAGAAATTCAAAAAGATATGCACGCAATGTGTTTAAAATTTGTGTGTGCATGGGTATTAACCTGTTTAAAATAAAAAAAGACAATAAAAATAAAAATTTATTCAAACAGAAAATATAATCAACAGCATTATGATTTCATAAATATTCATAAATTCAATGTATATCTAAACAGTATAATACAAAATAAAATCATTCAAAAAATCTGTTTAACCAAAAAAAAATGGGGTGAAATAGATTGAGGAGAGAAAAAGTTATTACAAGTAGTATAAAAATATAAAATAAAAAAATTAATATACTAGGATAACCTGAAAGACTCTAAGGCCGGGCTTTTAAATTGGAACTTGAGGCATTTTTATTAAACGAGCTTTTATACAAGTCCAAACCTGATTTTAACAACCAATTTTAAACATATAAACTCAGGTTTTCACGAGTCGAATCAAAAGCTCTTAATTTGTTTATCATTCCTGTACGTAGGGGTGTTCATCAACCGATCCAAACCGATTCAAACCGCGGTAACCGAACCGAAAAATCGAAAACCGAATAAATCAAAAATCGAAAAATCGAAAACCGAAAAAAAATCACAAATTTTAATTGGATTGGATCGATTTTTGGATGGGTTGATGAAAACCGATCCAATCCAAACCGATCCAATATATTAATTCCCCTCTACCTACTTGGGTCTTTCCCTAATCATAACCTAAAAATTTCTAAACCCAAGACCCATTAACTAAACCCAAGAAAAAATCTAATCTCATCTCATCAACAAAATTTTATCTTTGTAGAGCTTCATATCTAATTATCCAAAAAAAAAAAACTATATTATAGTTTACTAATGTTTTTGTATTTCAAAAAATAATAATTTACAAAGACAATATATACAAAAGATGTTATTTGCACAATAATCATGAAATAAATTTTAGGATTTTCAAAAAATCGAAAACCGATCCAATCCAAACCGAAAAAAATTGGATCGGATCGGATTTGAAAAAAAATCCAAACCGAATGGATGATTATATGATCAAACCGAAGAGATTGGATCGGATGATTTTTGCTTCCAAAACCGATCCAATCCAGACCGCGAACACCCCAACCTGTACGTATGCGTTGGGGGGAGGGGGACGTCATGTTCAAGATAAAGGAATGTCTGTACGATATATTGATCTCAAATTTCATTGACTAATACGCAAGTTGTAGTATTAACTAAGAAATTTAAAAAATTCGTTAACAGCTAGAGTGATTTGGGTACAATTAGTAAGTCAACTCTGATTGGGTGGGGGATGCACAAGTTGAGAAATAATGTTGATTAATTGCATCCTCATATAATTGGAACAATTTTAAAGAATAGTTAAAAGTCAATTCACATAGAAGGTATTATAATAGCTTAGAAAGCTGTCTTCAAGAATGAGGATGATGGAGTACTACCATAAGATTTTCTAATTAACAGGAAATATTCTAGCTAGGGGAAAATGGAAAGTAAGGTTGTAGATTGAATTTTATCAATGATGAGGATTATATAGATTCCTGCTATTTCCTAACCTAAGAAGACTGTCAATGAAATAAAGTCAAAGATGCTTACAAATAAAAAATTTGATTCATAGAGGTATAAGCTTTTCCAAGTCAATTTGTACAATATATCATCTTGTCATGAAATATTCACACCAAGACCAATTCAAAGAACTAGCTTGTATTCTTAGTTAACACATTTTCTTCATTCTGAGTAGGCAATCAAATAAGTACACAAAATGAACCACAATTGACGCCAACTTGGTCTTTCACTTTTAAACACCGACAAGATTCCTATGTTTATGCCTTTTTGTTGCCTAAAAAATAGAAGAAAAAGCCTAGAATTAGCGACTTCAATGTTCTTCTTTTGCATAAGTCTTTTGGATTTGCATGCGCAATTTTCCAACAAAACTACAGCAAGTGAAGAAAACAAATTAGCCAGTCCCTTACGTGGAATAGTTGAATATGTCCTGAACGTGAGGTGCACGTCCTAATCAAATTAGTCCTAATTATTTTTTAGTTAAATTTTAATGATTCCTTTTAAATTTATTTTATGTGTAATTATTATTATTATTCTCTTTTTTATTTATTTATTATTTATTTATTTTTTTGCGGGAGGGGGATAAAAATATAATATTGTGTGTAATTTGCTTCCGAATTCTGATACTGCAATTTATGTATCTTCACATTTAACTCTATAAAACTATAAATCAAGACTTACCATTAAACTTGACAAAAATCTTTAAGTTCTATTAATTAACTTTTCAATTGGTTCAATTTAGCCTCACAAACTATCGGTTTTTTCTTAATCGATTCTCATATTTTTGTGATGACATTAAATATTTACTAATAGAAAACTTTAACGAACAAATGTGATATAAAGATGAAGATTATTTTTAATCTTTTCGTTCATACTTGAAGAAATGTGCATGTGTACAACTGTGAGTGTTGACATTGTATAATAGCATTGTTTCTTTTATATTGGTATTTTTTTTATTTTTTTTATTTTTTTTGGTAAACCTTTTATATTGGTATTTTATAAAAGGCAGCAACAATTTTTTATTATAAAAGTTTTCCAAGGCTATAAGTTAATATTAAAAAAAAATTGTTATCCTTGATATTGGCTCATTCCTTTCTTACTTATTTTTTATTATAGAAAAACAAAGAAAGATAAAAGGAGGAAATTATTTTCTCTCCTTTTTTCTCTTAAAAAAATGCAAATTGAAAGTGTAACAAATTAAGGACAAGAATAATATTATAGTTGAGAAATTGTCTACAACTAGAGAAAAGCATCTACCTTACCTTGCAATTCAGTATAGCAAGAAATGTGACCTAAATGAAAAAGTGTAAGAAAATGGAAAATTGAATAAGAGTAACATTTTTACTAAGAAAAGGGCTAAATTTGAGAGTTAAACATCTCTGATGCTCCCCGTACTTCGAATTAGTCTTATAGCCGATTCAAAGAATCAAAGTTTATAGGAATATCGTACGAATTAACTCGTCTCAAAGAGATAATTAGGATTGAGTTAACTAAAAAAGAGAGATAAAGCTAAACATCTATCATGTTTTACAATGCAATACGACAAGAAATAATGACAATTTTCAATATATTTTCGTGTTAATTTTTTTTACATTAACTTTAAATAAATTATCTGCAGTGCACGATTTTAACTATGTCTTAGTAGTAAGATATAATTATAATAATAAAAGTTTTTTTTTTTTCTCCTCAAACATTGTCGCGGACTTGAAGAAGAAAAAAAAATAATTTTATCATTATAATCATATCTTACTTGTAAGACATAGCCAGAAAAGATTATTTAAAATAACTTTAGAAATATTTTTTCAATTATATTCTTATAATTTTTGTAATTCAGTGTGACAAGAAACTGTGACAATTCTCAATTAAGATTGACGACAAGAAACGTAAGCCCAACATTGTAGATGGGCTGAACACTAGATGATGATGAACAATACAATAAGGACCCCATAAAATGGTGAATGTTAAATGAATAGCAATCATATGATCATATCACATTTAATTCAATGATCACTGTTAGTTGTAGTTTTGTTATTGAAAGTAGAAAGTTAAGACCTGAAAAGAAAGGGAAATAAAAAAATAAAAAGCTGAAAGAAAAACATGGGCCTCTCATTCAAGATATTTAGTCATGCGTTTACAATGGAACCCCTCATCAGTTTTCATTTGATTTGGTCGTTTAAGGAACTCGAAGGACAATTCTGGTATATGATGTCACTTTCATAAATCATAACACTTAAAACTTATCCATTTTTCTTGAACGATTAACTATATAAACTAAACTCTTACACTGCACTCAAACTTTACCTGTTTCTGGGCTTGGATTTGTACTTTGTTGCTCTAAGTTCATATGGTTCTCTTCTGAATTCCTATGGCCAGTATTCTGGGTCCTTCTTCAACCATTGTCACGTCCTATGCATTCAGGAATGGACCATTCAATGCAGTTACAGGAAACAGACACTCCCCTTTATGGCTTTCTTGCACTCGCCATGGAAACCCTGCTAGAAACCATTTCCAGCTTAAATCCTCAAATGGGCATCCGCTAAATGCTGTTTCTTCTCATGATGGTGTGTTATTCATTCTATTCTTTACATCTTTTGCCCTTCTTTTCTTTTTTTCTTCGGTTGTGGTAGATATTATGAAGCATAACTTGGATTAAAATGTTTGCTTGTTAGTTAATTTAGCAATTGATCCTCCCTATGGCTCTTGATTACTCTTGTCCAGCGATGTCAGTATACTCCTTCAACCAAAATTGTGGCTAAGTGGTTGCAATTAGAGTTAGGATTTTAGTGTTAGAGAAATATAATGTAAAACTTACTTTCACCTGACATTAACAGCTTAAACTTTTGGTTGAATTAATTTTTTTTTATATTAGAGCCTCCTTCACCAAATGATGTGTGCTCTTGTGCAAGGGATGTGCGAAGTGTTAGAAAAATATAATATAAAACTATTAATGTAACTTTATGATAGGACTAACTCCCTATCTAGAGTCTATAAGAAGAATTTTATTAATAAACAACAGAAAGATAAGAGCAAATCCTCCCAGCAAGGAGGAACTCTCCTAGCCCCTGACTGAAATGATTCCACACAGATCTGATGCCCTTTCCTCTAGATTCACGCTAATAAATAAAGGGTTTTATTTTCTCGTATTGTTGGAGATATCTCCTACACAAATTTTTACGTGAGAAGAGCATGAAATAATTATCTTATGTAAAATAAGAGAATAATTTCCCATAAATAAAAAATAATAACTTCCCGTAACTGCCATGCAGTTATGTTCCCAGCCCCACTAATAACAGTATATATTATACAGAGAATTAATAACTACATACGTAACTTACGGCATCCTATCCACTAATAATTGCCTAATTTGAATTAAACACTTTCTGCTCACATAAACTGTATGACAGAGTTTGTGCCATTGGGATCAATGTTTCTATCACCTTCACTTAACAACACAAACTTTTGGATTCAATTGTAGAGAACATTTATTCTTCAACTGTCTTTGTCATTCTCACCGATGGTACATGGTCGTTTAGTAATGTCATCCTTCTTGGTTCTGGGATTGATTGACTTGAGTACACAAAGTATGTCTTTCTCATCATTCACCTACTAAATCTCTTAACATGTTCTGTTCTTAAGCCCAGCTGATATCATATTGAATGCAATAGCTAGTCATACTTGTTTTGACTAACAATAACTCTTATTGCTGAATTCCCTGGATTTAGTTAATCAATTTGTTATTCAGAACCATACACCCTACTATATTCTTTATGTGGAAGCCTCTTCCCTAGCTATTTGGAAATACATTCTAACTGTTTTTCTCTTATCCATATGCTTCCTTGTTATACTCTTGGTGTTCCCTCTTATCATTTTTTGGTTTCGTATTTCAATTTTATTGCATACCCAGGGTATTTACCTCTATCAATGCAAAAATCAACTCAGTATTGAAAGTTTAAACCAGATTTGGGCTCGACTTCATATTGAGAGAAAATGTGTAGTTATATAACCAAGTTTTATTATTTTGATATTTCTCTACTTACGAAAATCCATGTTTCTTATTGTCATTGCATCACAACATTTTGTGCTCTTCTCCCCACTTTAACCTCTTGGTCTCTTGCTGTCCTCTATGTCCTTATGTAAACTGCAATTTTTGTTTAAGTTTCGGTTCAAGATTGAATCTATGTATTATAATAATTTTCAAATGCCAATAATCTTATTGTACTTTTTTGTAAAGTGTATTTTTTGTTTTGTCGTGTTGCTCTGAACTCACTCTTACTTTGCAGGCCCGTTTGTTTGTATGTTTAATGTCTGTTGACTACTTGTGCATTTGTATATAATTAAAGATGTTTAGCTAAATTTTCACACACAAAAAAAAATAAAAATAAAAAACTGAAGTCATATATCCTATATTCACATATTTTAAGCAGGTTTAGCTGGAAGTTCATTGGCCAAAGAAGATAGCAAGTTCCAACCTGTTGAAGGACCATTTCCCTTGTCAGACTCAGAATGCAAAGGATCCAACCTTAGCATAACTGTTGTTGGAGCTTCTGGAGACCTTGCCAGAAAGAAGATTTTTCCAGCGCTCTTTGCTCTCTATTATGAAGATTGGTTACCAGAGGTCCTACTTCTCATAGTACTTGTTTCATTTGGCAGTGATGCTTAAACTTCATGCAAATTGAAATGTCTTAGTTTCATTAATGCAGAATTTTCTTGTGTTTGGATATGCTCGGACTAAAATGACCGATGAAGAATTAAGGAACATGATAAGCAAAACTTTAACATGCAGAATTGATAAGAGGTAAATTTTATTTAAAAAACAATTTTTTCTTCTCTCTTTTCATAAGTCATTTCACTAAAACACATTGTATCATTTAGCACTTTTCATGTTATTGTGCTAACAGGATGTAAAACCCTACCATTTACTTTTCCCATGCTTCTTTTCATTGTGTATATATTGACATGAGTTTTGAACTGGCAGGGAAAACTGCGAAGATAAAATGGATCAGTTCTTAAGAAGATGCTTTTACCATTCTGGTCTGTACAATTCTGAGGAGCACTTCTCAGATTTGGATTGCAAGCTGAATGAGAAAGAGGTAATATATCTACCATCTCTTTCATTATTTCCCTCCTGCACTGAGCCCCCTTATTCATACATCAGAAAGTAAATAAAAAATAAAAAATAATAATAATAAAATTGGAAGACATTTTCCCTAAAAAAACAAACATACTACTAAAAAGAATGCAAGAAAAATCATGTTATCTAATCTTGTATGCCATTTGTTTCTCAAATTTAACATAAATGTTTAAAAAACTGAAATAACCCTAAACATGAATCTCTTCTACTAAGCTGTGTCACAATTGCTTTCTCAAAGTTTGTCCCTGGATGTTGAACTGACCTCAGAAAAAGGAAATTATGCAACTTCTTTATAAAATTCAATATTCCTTCAAAAACAAAGTGCTGGATTTTGGAGATCTATTTTCTCTTTAGAATACGGTGCAAAAACCTCTAGAGGAGATGGTGATTTGAAAATCAAAACTGTGGTGCTACAAAAGGGTTCTATCATCAATCATAAAATTTAAGCAATTTGATATTTTCTATATCTAAATATATGGTTTCATACAAACTAAGACTAAAATTTTCATGGTAGGTGTTGCGTAAAATCGGCAAGTGCACCGATCGTACCAAGTAATAAAAGTGAGTAAGATATCGTCCCACGAGGATTGAGGCACCAAATCTAATTTTAACTATCCCTTTCTTAATTGGATGAACAAAAGAGGTTTTTAAAGTAATTGTAACGTGACAATTGTGAACTGTTCAATATTTCGTGAACAATTCAGAGAAATTTGAAGAAATTAAAAAAAACAAAGATTGAGATTTGAGAAAAATATTAAAAGAAAAACTATTGCAGTAAAGGACGCCAACACCTTTCCGATCCCCACCTTTTAATCTTGATTAATATTTATATTTAATTACCCAATTGACCAAATAATTCACGATCTATAATTAATGAGTTAAGCCCTAATCCCTTAGTAATCTTAACCTTATTAACCCTATTAGAATCCTAATCCCTTAGAAATCCCTTTTCAAGTTAATCCTTAAGCCCAGTGAATTTTCCACATTTGCAGTTCATGTAGCCTATCCCTAGTGCATACATGAACAGTTATCTTACCCTTTGTCAGAAATTTAGAATCCCAATATCCCTATTGTGAACCCTAACCCTCGCAATCCTAATAGAGTCGCGAATTCTAAAAGAATTATGGGATGAAGAACAGAGTAAAATAAATTCAATTGAATAATTAATCATAAACTTAACCAAAATACAAGGGGTTCACATCAAGGGTTGTGACCCTTACCACAATATCAAAAAACTAGCCAGACATATTCATGTCTGACAATTTAAAATAAAAAGAATTCATAAAAGCAATAAAGAAAGAAGAAGAAGATGAAGGATCTCCAACATGAGCCTCCAAGAGCTCCAAGAATTCTCTCCGGCTAAAGATGATGTTGTTTTAGAGTTTCTGCTTCCTTTATATAGCCAGCTACTCAATCAGGTCATAATCCTTGAATTAATTCTGATTAAATTTCCATTTTTCTCATAATTCCACCAATCAATCAGGTCATAATCCTCTCATTAATTTGATTAAATTTCACTTTTAATCAAACTCCACAAATCAAGGACTGCATTCATGACGCCCGCGCGATCAGTGCCAAATTCGCGACTCCACAAATCAAGGACTGCATTCATGACGCCTGCGCGATCAACGCCAAATCCGCGCGGATCGCGCCATTTTTTGCGCGAGACTATGCAATTTTAACTTCTCTCTTTCACTTCATTTTGGTGTTTCCTGCTATCAAAATGCATAAATTGAGTGAGAGAATGATTGAGAAGGAATAAGCAATATTTCTTGCATTTATGAGCTTATTTTCACACATTTATGATTAATTCCTTGCTTCTTTTACTTAGAAATCTCCATATGTTAGACGCATATCAATAGGTGTCTGCCTAATCATTGATCTTGAGTCTATATTTTGATATATTTGACAATGGTCTCTCCTAGGGTGGAAAACTTTCAAACAGGTTGTTTTATTTGTCAATACCTCCAAACATATTTGTGGATGTGGTAAGATGTGCTAGCCTTAAAGCTTCTTCAAAAAATGGCTGGACAAGGGTTATTGTTGAAAAGCCGTTTGGTCGTGACTTAGAATCATCTAGTGAGCTAACAAGATGTTTGAAGCAGTATCTCACTGAAGACCAAATTTTCAGGTGCATTTGGTTCCTTTTCATTTTAACAAGCTAGAGAGGAAAGTTTGTACTTATTGAGAACTGTTTAGGATTGACCATTACTTGGGGAAGGAGCTCGTGGAGAATCTATCAGTGCTTCGCTTTTCAAATCTTGTTTTTGAGCCTCTATGGTCCCGGAATTACATTCGCAATGTGCAGCTAATATTCTCTGAAGATTTTGGAACAGAGGGAAGAGGGGGGTGAGTCATAATGTCATCTATGTTTCTTGATGCTAATACAGGGAAATGATAATTCAAACAACTAATCAGACTGTCTTTTTGTTTTTCTTTAGTTATTTTGATAACTACGGAATCATTCGCGATATAATGCAAAATCATCTTCTGCAAATACTAGCATTGTTTGCTATGGAAACGCCTGTGAGCTTGGATGCTGAGGACATCAGAAATGAAAAGGTACTGACTATCTATAGTGTACATGACCAATAATATTTTATTACTGCTCCAATTCAGTCCAACTAAATATCCTATAATCTTATGGAAAGATTTCAGCCAATGTATTGATGTTTACTGATTATTGAGAATGGTCCCAACTCAGGTGAAGGTTCTGAGATCAATGAGACCACTACTGCTTGAAAATGTTGTTGTTGGTCAGTATAAGGGCCACAGCAAGGGTAGTAAATCATATCCTGGTTATACAGATGACCCAACTGTTCCAAACGGTAGTCTTACTCCAACATTTGCAGCAGCAGCTCTTTTTATTGACAATGCTAGATGGGATGGGGTTCCTTTTCTCATGAAAGCTGGCAAGGCTCTCCATACTAAACGGTATGGAATATTTCTTCTTTCTTAAATTTGAATTTCCTATGCATTCTTTGGAATTATGATTACAACAAATTTAAAAATGTATTCAGTGCAGAAATTAGAGTACAATTTAGACATGTCCCAGGTAACTTGTACAAGCGGAATTTCGGAACTGATCTGGACAAGGCTACTAATGAGCTCGTACTTCGTGTTCAGCCTGATGAAGCTATATATTTGAAGATCAACAACAAAGTTCCTGGTCTGGGAATGAGATTAGACAGAAGTGACCTCAACTTGCTTTACCGAGCTAGGTATAAATTCTTCTAGATATGTTCTGCATAGAGTTTACTAAATTAAATTCAATTGTAAAAGTTGTAGGCTAATCATTTCTGCTAATTTAATTTAAATTTAAATATGAATGTTAAAATGTTAATCTAGTTAATTCTGTGGACGCATAAGACTCTTTCTATTATTATTAAGTTATCCAAGAAAATTCTAGATGCTTATGAAATTACACTTCCCTGGAATATTGGAGTGAAATTACCCTTTTCTATCATTTTTCTCTGTTTTGACATTTCTTTCTTCACAATTATACTTGGACAGAACTCTTGCTTGTGATAATATAGCTTAACTATCATAAAACAATTCCATCATCTAGGAATGATCATGATATTGGAAGAGATACAAAATATGTTTTGATAAGGGCATTAATATTCTGAGTTTCAATATCTTTGAAGGTATCCAAGAGAAATACCAGATGCATATGAGAGGTTACTCTTAGATGCTATTGAAGGTGAGCGAAGGTTGTTCATTAGAAGTGATGAGCTTGATGCAGCTTGGGCACTATTCACTCCTTTGCTAAAAGAAATTGAAAACAAGAAGATTGCTCCGGAGCTCTATCCCTATGGCAGCAGAGGACCAGTTGGAGCACATTACCTTGCTGCACGGCACAACGTAAGATGGGGAGATCTTGGTAGCGAAGACTAATAAGTGGCAGAGCTCTCTTATGATTAAGGATATTCATTATCAGTTTCTTTTTCTATGATAGCATATTTTTGTGCTTGCTTCACTGTTTACTGGAAGAAGTAAGTTTTCATATAGAATAATAGCATGCTTTATTATGTTACTACAGCTAGTGCTTGACGCACTTCTAGTTGAAGAATAGCAAGTTGATTTAGAATTATAACTATTGCATAGTAATGAAAAACAACTGAAGCAATTGGAGCAAATACAGCTAAATCTCAAAATATGTATCTTTTGTGGTTGATTTGACGGAACATTTTTTACAGTGAAACTTCTCTAGTTTAGTGTAAAAAAGGTAGAACCAACTAGTTAATCATGTAATTGACAGCTTGAAAAGCCAAAGAACACATAGGCAAACAACCTGACAAGTTCAATTATTTGTCTCAATTTCTAGATGAATGATGCCTATTTTTTCTTTGTCAAAACCTTCTGGCAATAGATGCCTCGTTTCCATCTCACTGCATAACATCAATGCCAACTGGTTTCTGCCGCACTTGCAAAGTCCATTATAGAGCTCAGAAAAGGTACTGGAATCAGGAGTCATAAATCTGTCCAACATGTCCCTCAAGACTTGCACAGCTCCATCAAAGTCTTCATTGCTGCAGAAGGCAGATATCAACATTTGGAAAGTTTGCTCATTCGGTTTACAACCACTCCTTATCATGCTTCTATAAAGTTGAAAGGCACGCTCAGAGTTGTTTCTTACACACTGACCAGTAATAAGTGCACAAAAGGTGGACGCATTAGGAACCAATTTCTCCTTATCAAGTTCTTTAACCAAAAATGCAGCTTTCTTTGTCTTCCCATCCTTACACAGTCCCAAAATCAAAGCATTATAAGTCAGTATATCAACCTTAACCTGATTCCTCACCATCTCCTCATAAAGCCTACTCCCCATTTCACTGTTACCAACCTGACTATACCCATTTATCAAAGTATTGTATGTTACAGTATTTGGAGCCACATTGGTAACCTTCATCTCAGTAAAAATCCTATTTGCCTCGTGCAGCTTCCTCTCTTTACAAAAACCATTAATAAGCGTATTAAAAGTAACCACATTTGGATCCACCCCATTGTTTCCCATCAAAGATTTAACCTTCAAAGCCAAGCCAAGGAGACCCTTGTTACAATACCCTGAAATCAATGTGTTAAAGGACACAGCATTTGGACTCAAACCCATGTCCTTCATCTTCTCCAACATCTCAACACCCTTCTGCAATTCCCCTAACTTACAGTGAGCACAAATAACCATGTTAACAGTGTACACATTTGGTGAAACACAAGAACGACCCATCTCACGATAGAATGCCAAAGCTATATCTGCTCTTTGCAAGTGAAGAGTGGAACTCAGAAAAGCATTGCAGGACTCAACAGTGGGGAAGAAACCATATTCCTTCATTCGACACAAGGTGTCAGTGGCATTTCTAAGCTTGTTCATGTGAGCAAAGGTCTTGAAGAGAGAATCGAATATGAAAGGTGAAGAATTGCAGATACGGTAAGAGTACAACAATGCTTCAAAGAGCTTAGAAGGAAAGTCTATTGTGTTGGAAGCAAGGATTTTTCTGAGAATGGTTTCGCTGGTTTTGAATTTTCGGTTTTTGGTGAGGGTGTGGAGGAGCATGGAGTGTGTTTCGAGGGTGTGGGAAGAAGGGTTGTGTTTGTTAACCCAGTTGAAGAACTCCAAGGAGAGAACGTTGTCGTTTTGGAGCTTGAGGAGAATGTGTTTAACTCTGAACGGAGTGAAAGATGATGATGATGATGATAAGTGATGGAGTTTGTCCCATTGGGAATGAATCACGTGGCTGTGAACAACGTTAACAAAATCGAGATCTTGCCCTTTGGGTTGAGGAATCGTTCGATGAGGTATGGGTATGGAGGAGGACCTTAGAAACATCCTCGTACTTGTACTTGTACTTGGTCTTTTGTTGTCTGATTCGATCAAAGTCGAAAATCGATGAAATCGGATGTTTCTCGTCATTTTAGCAGTTACCTGTGTGGCAAAAAAGAAAGCTGTTTTCTTTGCTGAAGAGAGGAAGATGATGCAATTAAATTATTGGGCCGTGGGTGGGTTGGTGGTCCATTTGACCCGGCCCAAATCTCCCAATCTATTTATTCTTGAGGATCTCTCACCCATTGTTCTTTGTGATTTTTTTTTTTTTTTTTTCATGCTTTAAGTATGTGGCAGGAGTAGTCAATATACTTAAGCTCAATTAAATGATGTGTTTTATGAATGTTATGTTGTAGGAAGTTTTTTATGTCATATCACTCTAATAAAAAGGATGTAGGTCTTACTCAAAAAGAAAAAAAAAAAGGTGGATCATTATTTTTATTAGAGTGATATGACACAAAAAAACTTCCTTGCATCATCGCATTCATAAAACCTTTAAATGATTACACGAATCTAAAATTTGACAAGAAAAGAAATAGTAATATTTACAATGTCATATATAAAACTTTATGAAATTTATTTGGTTGAGTTTCGTGTAATTTACACAAAAAAGAAAATTTAGGTTTTCTTAAGTTATATTTGGATATGTTATAACGGTAAAATGAGATGGAATAATATGAAATCAATATAAAAAATTATTATATTATTATTTGGACAGTGCGTGATGAAATTAAGTTATATATATATTTTTCCTTTTCCTTTTCCTTTTTCTAGTGGGGAGCATTTAGTTTTGGACAAGCTTTGTCGAATTACTTATATATTTTTTAATGAGTCTGGCGAACCCTTTGAAAACTCACTAATTTTTTTAAAAAAAGTGCTTCAAGTTCCATGGACCCCTTAGGGGTGTTCGCGGTCTGGATTGGATCGATTTTGAAAGCAAAAATCATCTAATTCAATACTGTCAGTTTAATCATGTAATCATTCATTCGGTTCGAATTTTTTTTCAAATTCAATCCGATCCAATCCAATTTTTTTGGATTTGAATTGGATCGATTTTCAGTTTTTTGAAAATTCTAAAATTTGTTTTATGATTATTGTGCAAATAACATATTTTGTATATATTAACTTTGTAAATTTATTTATTTTTTAAATACAAAAGTATCAGTAAACGATAATATAGTTTTTTTTTTTGGCAATGAGATAAGAAGCTCTACAAAAATAAAATTTTGTTGATGAGATGTGACTAGATGTTTTCTTGGATTTAGTTGATGGGTTAATGGATCTTGGGTTTAAAAAATTTTATGCTATGATTAGGGAAAGGTCCAAGTAGGTAGAGGAAAATTAATATATTAGATCGGTTTGAATTGGATCGATTTTCATCAACCAATCTGAAAACCGATCCAATCCAATTAAAATTTGCGGTTTTTCTTCGATTTTCGGTTTATTCGGTTATCGATTTTTCGGTTCGGTCACCGCGGTCTGGATCGGTTGATGAACACCCCTAAACTCCCTTGAGAAACTCATAAATCATGTCAGGTGGCACGATCTTAGTCATCCAAAATTCTTACCCTTCTTATAATCTTCATCTCCAACACGATTCATGTATTTATAAAAGCCGACTTGTTAGAACCTGCGCACAACAATGACTTGAGAGCATGGAAATTGGATTTGCCCATTGACAATCATTTTGCTCAACCCGACTGAAACAACATGACCATATACAATAATTAAAAGCCTCTTTAACCTCAGACCTATGTGAATTGTGGTCATAAGTGCAAACAACATGGGTAGATGCACCCTCTTGGTTATTTTGCATCGCGTCAAGCAGCACCTTATAGTAACAATTGTTGGCTACTATTTTATGACAAGTGTTATTTCATCTCCTAACAAAGTATTCATTTGAATTGAAAAAAATATATATTAAGGATTAAGGTCTTTTTATGGCTAATATTGCACCACATGGTGTAATTTGTGAGTTCCCGATAAGGGTGTTAATGGGTCAAGCCGAGTCGAGTTTTGGTCTTAAAAGGCTAAGTCTGTGTTTAAATGTGTCAGCCTGACCAAGCCTGTTATCTGTTATGAATATAATTTCAGGCGGTGGCCTGTCTTATTTGTAAAAAATAAAAGCCTGATTTAGCCTGTTTAAAAAAAATAAGACAACAAAAATTTATCTAAACAAAATATACAATCAACAGCACTATTAATTCCATAAATATTCATAAATTTAATGTATATCCAAACAACATAATATAAAACAAAATCATTCAAAAAGTATGTTTAATTAATAAAATAAGATGAAATAGATTGAGGAGAGAGAGAGGGTTATCACAAGTAGTATAAAAAATATAAAATAAAAATAAAAATTAATATATTAGGCCAGCCTGAAAGGCTTTAATGCCGAGCTTTTAAATTGAAGCCTGAGGCCTTTTTATCAAACGAGCTTTTATACAAGTCCAAGCCTTGTTCCAACAATCAATTTTAGACATGTAAGCTCAGACTTTCACGGGCCGAGCCAAAGGTCCGTGGCTCGTTTAATACCTCTAGTTCCCGAGTGATATGCGGGACTTGAAACAAGAAATAAAAAAGAAATTAATGAGTTTCTTATGGGGCCCATAACATATTTTTTTAACAGCACAAGGATAGAATAGATAATTTATCTCAATATTTAACGATGTTGAGGATAAATTTGAATGAAAAAAAATCACATGAGAAATAGATGATAATAAAAAATACAAGAGATTAAATGATTTTGGAGCAAAATATAGAATTTTTTTGTAGCATCATATTTATCTGTATTCATGTTATTTGTCTTATCAAGTCAATACATATGAATTCTATGAAATAAAATTTGAAATGCCTTTCGACTGATTTGTTAGTATATATTGGAATGAACAATACAATAAATTAGTATGTTAATGTTTATTTTGTGAGATATTGGAGAATTTATATAGTTTTTTTTAAAAAAAATGCTTAAGTTATTTATATTTTTATATTTTATTTTATTTACAGTTAATTTAAAATATATTCATTTATCTTTTCTCACGATAATCAAAATCTATTTTATCTCTAATATAGTTGAAATAAGTACTTATTCCAATAGAACTTGTTAATTCAGTTTTACTATCATATATGTTATTTAGAATATGTTGTACAATATTTAGATAGGCACTTTAAGACACATTTATGAAAAAATGAAGCTATTAAAATTATTTTGGTTTGAAATCATTTCAAAAACAACTATCATATTATAATAATTATTTCTATATGTAATATATTATAATAATTAAATTGTCAAATGAGATAAATTTTCAATTAAACATTTTAATTATTCATACAAGAAAGAAGGTCCATGAATCAAAAAATGAATTAATCAAATTATTTGTCATAAGCATCTTCTAATAGATATATGTAATGAAAACCCATTGAGAATGCTGCAGAAGAACAACATACACCTACGAGAACATGGTTGCACCCTTCCGGTGTTTCGTTAAGTAAGGATGATGGGAAGGATGCTCCTAGCTTTCTCTTTGAATCCGATGAGCCGGCCTTCAAATTTCTTCTTTTATGTACGTGTGCATGTGCCTGGTGGTGTGTACTTAGTGTGCTTTAACTGTATTAGAGAGATATAGTCTGATGGGTGCTCAGTCATGTATGCAAATTGTGATAAAAGTGAATATTGTTATTATTATGAATCACGAGACAGGGCGCACTAGTGAGAAAATTATTGAGAATTCACTTGTCATTCTTCCTAGGATCATAACAAAGTGGACACCCCAACTAATTGATGAACTTCCTGAAGCTTTAGTGGTATGCGATATGGACTCATAATTGCGACCATCTTTATTTTTCCAATTTTGTTGTATCAGGGTGAATTTTTTTTAGTACAATCATGGTGAAAAGTTTAGTTCTGCAACTATGAATATTTTGAAGGATTTCAACCACATTTTAGCCCTCATTTTCTAGAAACTAGAGGAACAACATACTTTAATTTTAGGAGTCAGAAATTTTGGCTGATTTAATTTGGCACCCACACGTGCAGTCAAAGAGAGAAAAATTTAAATGCAGAAGGTCTTTCTTTTCTAAAATATGTATGAGGTGCAACACTACACCTACACCAGCTTGTGTGAGACAGAAAAGCCTATACCTTTGAGCAGTAATATTAATCATGTTTTGTAAAAAAAAAAAAAAAAAATTATATTTGAATGGTTACAAGTTTTCAGAACTTGTAATAGCACTTTTTAGATAAGCATATATCTATTTTTTAAGAAAATTTCTTAATGTACTGAATTTTTTTTTTACATCTTCCACAATTAATATGGTATTTGTCTTATTTTTATCAAATTATTAATAAACAATTTATTTTAAAATTAAGCGAGAAAATAATTTAATAAAAAATAAGACACCTACAATAAAAATTATACTGAAAACTCAGTGCATACTCGAGTTTTAATATGTGACCATTAATTTTAAGGGTTATATTTATCTCATTTTACATGAGATAAGCAATTTTTCTACACACATAAAAAAGAATTGGGTCCTATCACTCTTTTTCTCTCTCCTCTTACTTGTGAGTCTCACTTATAATTTTATTTCTACAACATGAGATAACTATTTCCCTACAAGGCTATAACATAAGAAAAGTATTTTCCTAATTTTAAATAACTACTCAGATCTCACACCGGGCTTCTCTATTTCTTTATGAGTTTGGTGTTTGTCATTTTAAATGACATAAGTTATGTCATTTTATGAGAGAGATAGACATAGAAAAATCGAAATTATGGGAGAGAGAAAGTGGATGGTTTTTTTTAATTTAAAATTTAAATAAAAAAAATCTGTGTCTGTCTCTCTCTTAAGATGATATAACTTTATGTCATTTAAAATGATAAACACTTTTTCCTTTCTTTATTCATGTAAATTCATGGGATAAAGAGAAATTTTGCATATATTATGCATATTCGATAATAATAATTTACCGAGTCTTCAATTTAAGACTACAAAGAAAATAGTAATATATATTTAGGGAAAAATATTTTTTTATTTTCAATGAGCTCAGAACGACATCGTTTTGAGTTATAAGATTAAAAAATTATAATAATAACGACTAATATAATCCTGCAATATATTAAAATCACAAAAATACCTTAATTTTAGTCTCAAAATAACGTTATTTTGGAATCACCGAAAATAATTTATCTCTATTGAGTAGAGAAATTTTTTACCCATATGTTTAATATATTTGGTTTTATTTTTTTTCTCATTCCATTTTTTCTTTTTTTATTTAAGTATATTTTATTTTTTTTCTTCTATTTTTTATTTATAGTATTTTCTATAAGTGTGGTAAGTTTTTAATATATTTGGTTTTCTTTTTTTGTAATTTTCCCCCAATATATTTTCCTTTTTCTAAAAAAAATAGAGTAAGTGATTAGTTTAGTTTTTAATTGTGTTAACTATGAGTTTAGATGAAAAAAAAATATAAGAGATAAGTGATTGATTCCAACCAAAATTATAGGAGATTTTTTAAAATAAAATAAATATTTAAAATTAACAGATTTAAACTTAACTAATATAGAAGGAAAAGTATTTCTTCAGCATAAAGTTATCTCTTGTGAGTTTAAAACGACGTTGTTTTAGATGATAAGATTAAAAAATTATAATGACAAAGACTAATATAACCCTGCAATATATTATAATTACAAAAATACTTTGACTATCGTTTTGAGCTCACTAGATAATGGAAAGAAATCCTTTACCCATAAATAAATAAATAAAATAAAAAAGAAGTGTAATTGAAACCCCAGGAAGGAGAGTTAACTGGGAAGAGGTAAAAGGGTTGGAGGTGAACGGAAATGGCGACACCGCAAGCGATGGGACCACCGGGAAATCCAATGTTGGACGGAGGAGGAGCAGTGCAACCGCCAGGGACGGATATGACCGGAATATGCTTCAGGGACCAGCTGTGGCTGAACACGTACCCACTGGATCGGAACCTTGTTTTCGATTACTTCGCCTTGTCCCCTTTCTACGATTGGACCTGCAACAATGAACAGCTCCGAATGCGCTCTGTTCACCCACTCGACCTCTCTCAACTCTCGTAAAACACCAACCTTCTCAATCTCAAACCTTCATTTTTACCATATCTATATATGTGTTTTGGTTAATTAACTAGGGTTTCTCTATTCGGTTGGGTTCCATTAAATCAGTTTTTGAATTAGGTTAAGAAGAAATTGAATTCAGTGTTATTATTATGACTACTTTGAATTGAAGTAGTTGGTTGTGATTATGATTATGCTCTTTAGGAAAATGACTGGCACAGAGTATATGCTCAGTGAAGTAATGGAGCCTCACCTTTTTGTTATTCGCAAACAAAAGAGAGATAGCCCTGACAAAGTTACACCAATGCTTGCATATTATATCTTGGATGGTTCAATATACCAGGCTCCACAGCTATGCAATGTTTTTGCTGCTCGAATTGTAAGCTCATATTGTATAGTTTGTATATATTACATATCTTGATTGTTTATAAAGTTAGGAACCATTTTGATTTGCTATAATTTACTTGCATGAGACTTGAGAAATGGATTTTGGTGATTGTGAAAAAAAGAAAAAAAAAAGCTTTTTCAATTATGAGATTTTAACTTTTTGTTTTCCTGAACAAGAGCTTTATTGGGTTCTAATTGTTTGAAGTATTGAGGCAGCTGCACTACAGCGTGAGATCTTGTTATTAGTGCTTGTACTTAATAAACTTTGTGCAGTTCAGTAGTTTTTCTTTAAGTTAATGCTTTTTGTTTTGGGAGAGAAGGTTTTGTTGAATACTGGTTGTGTCATTGATCTTGCAGGGAAGGGCACTCTATTATATACAAAAGGCCTTTACTACAGCCGCTTCAAAGTTGGAGAAGATAGGATACGGTACTAAATAGAGATGATAATTGCTTTTTGTTTTGGAAAGATAAGACATTGTTGCTCCCCGTAATGGGATAAAAACTGGACAATGGACGGGGTTTAAAATTCTGTTGTTACTAAGGCTATACAGCTATAGTAATTTGTTCTCTTTATGTTGAGCCATTATACAGTCTTTGTGGCCTCCCTCCCTTTGTCCTTTCAAAGAGGACAACCTTTCAAAGGGAATAGCCGGATAGGCTATTAAATTTCTGTTCTTGAATTACTAGAATTTTTAATGTCAGGTTTAAGATCCATCATTTAAGCCATGTATAATGTCACTGTTACAAGATTGATCTGAATTGCAATTATGCAAGGGTAAGGCTGCGTACAAGGATTTCCTCCACCCCACGCTCGTTAGTCGGGTTTAACGGGGAGTGGTTTTTATAATGTCACTGTTACAAGTACACAGAGAAATGCTGCTACTGTTACTTTGCATCTAATTTTTTAATTACCATTTTGTTGCCCTTACTTCTTGTGTTCTGCCTGCCTGTAAGCCATGTTCTTGTTGAAGTTTTTAACCATAGAACTGGTACATTGCTTACTTCTGTGCACATTAACTGAACTGTGATTCTTCTGGCTGGTTCAGTTGATTCTGAAAATGAGACTGCATTGCTGGAATCAAAGGTTGGTAAGGAGACAATTGACTTAAAGGAAGTTAAGCGAGTGGATCATATTCTTGCATCCTTACAACGCAAGGTAAGTTGAAAAAAATACAATTTTCCCTTGTTTCCTTATTAAACAATTATGTAGCAACTTTTGGAAGTTTCTAACTATTTTTATACAAAAATAGGGGTACAGGAAAGATTGAATTAAAACCTGTGTCTTGAATATCCGTGACATAAGTTGTGAAATAATACTGAATGTTTATGTACTGGTCATCTTCTATATTATCTAAGAAAATTTCTTTTGTCATTTGACATTTGAGTAATGCTGTATCTTCCTAATTATTACTTAAAACTGAAAGTATAAAATGAAAAGGCTGAAGCATGTATTATCTTGGGAAGCAAAAAGTATTTAATACTTCTTTGCGTAATTTGGGGGATAATTCACAGACCAAGAACTACAAGTTTACCCCTTTCATCATGGGATGACAAGGGGTTCGTATCATTCAAGCCTTTTTTGTTGCTTTTTTGGGGTTATGGAGAAAATTGCAATCAATAGGGTTTTCCTAATCCTTCCTTCCTGAAACGAAAAACATGAAATTCTTTTTCCTTTCCGCGGGACCAGGAGATTATAAGAAGAATAGAATGCTTGGCTGATAAATAACTCACTTTTCAGTTAATTCATTAGGAGGATATAGAACTAATATTTTCTCTTTGCTCTGTGGTTCCAATAATTTTATTTAAATGGTATAAAAGTTCTCAAAAGATGATGTTCTTTTATGACAATCCATCAGAGGTTTTGTTTGACATGGCAAAGTCCCAAATATACAAAGTTGAACAAATAGTTGTGAATTGGTTGATAAATGTCAACTGAGTTCAAACCTAAATCATTATTAGAATTTTACCACATTCTCTAAACTTTTAAGTGTCTCTCATCTTTATTGTTGATGAGAAGTGAGTGTTAACTTGCTGCTGCAGCTACCACCAGCTCCACCTCCACCACCATTTCCAGAAGGGTATGTTCCACCTCAAACAGCAGAAACCGAGAAAGTTACTGAAACTCAGGAAGCTGTAGAGTCGCAAGCTCCTATTGTTGATCCCATAATTGATCAAGGACCTGCAAAAAGAATGAAATTTTGATATAAAAGACAAACTACAGTGGCTGTCATTGTTTGGGTACAGGAAAAGTTTATTATTCCTTACAGACGACCCTTGCTGAAACATGGTTAATTTCGTGTTATTCTTTGGTCTAAAATGTGTAGCTCTATTCTGATCTTCACCGGGAATGTAGATATTATCAGTTAGGCTCACTGTAAGATAGGATGAAATTTTAGACAATGTATTGACTGATTCTGTAAACGAAATTAATCTCCTTCACATTGGATATTTTCTATTTGTTGAACTTTGATGGGCAGGGACTTGCTTTCATCCTAGTGTTCGTTGAACACCTCAGGAAATTGCATTCCTGTTCAAATGTGTGATATAATAATATTGGAAAATGTGTGTATCATTTTAATGGATGTAAAATTGTGTCATTTTAAGTGAGAGAAAGAGATAGATAAAGAAGGAGAGAGAGTGGATAAAAAAATATAAAGATGTGGGTCCCACCTCTTTGTGACAAACATTTAAAAGGACAAACATTTTTCCCAATAATATTATACGTCCTCTAGGGCATAAATTGAATTCAACCCGCGCGAGCTGCGGCATCATGTCCTGTTTGAATTGCATGACCATTCTAAGCTTATTTTGGCTCCAAAATGGAAAGACCGGTGAAAGCAATAGAGTAAAAGTGATTAAAGTATTATTATTTGATGAGAATTTGGCTATACCACCCCAAAAATTAGCTCAAAATGTGAGAGTGTTCAAGGCCTTATAAACTCTACATTAGTTATTCATATAACCAATGTAGGACTCCAAATCTCATACCTTGCAAATGGAATCCAACATTTCATTACGCTTCCCTAGTGCGTACCCCCATGCACACTCCACGTGATGGATGGTGATGGATGCTCTGATATCAATTGATAAGAATCTTAGAATGAATCATCTCAAAAGCTAACTCAAAGGATGAGAGTATCCAAGGTCATATAAATCTCACATTAATTGTCCATACAACTAATGTGGACAACTAATGTAAAACTTCAAGTCTCATACCTTGCAAATAGGATCGTAACATTTTATCACGTTTCCCAGCCCTGGCGACAACGCGAACTAGCTTTGCGTTAGTTTTTTACTAGCTCGGGCAAATATTGCAATGCTGGTGTCGCCACCCGCGCTGCTTGATTGTAACCTGCGCAAACACTGCAATGGCGGCGTCACCACTCGCGCCGCTCGATTGTAACCAGGAGACATAGTGGAAGGCCTTGATATTATTTGATGAGACTTTGGGATGCATTATCCCAAAAGCTAGCTTAATGGATGAAAATGTGTTAGATCTTATAAACTCCATATTAGTTATCCATAAAACCAATGTGAAACTTCAAATCCTATAACTTGCCAATGGAACCTAAGATTCTACTACACTTGGTGGAATGGAAAGACCGAAAGCAATAGAATAAAAGTGATTTAAAGTATTATTATTGAAGGGAAAGGAGTTGGATTTGGTGCATGCTTAGGAATAGATAATTGAGAAAATAATATATTTTTTGACTTCAAAATAAGATATATACAAATTGATTGGTTCTGAATTTTTAATCCAAATAAGCTCAAGCTGATGTGATATGTATATGCTAATATTTTAGTGAAGGCCGGTTAATAGAGGACCCTTCATAAGCAGCAGCACTGGTTCCATTTTAGTGGTCTAGCCAACGGTACTTTCCACCCTTTCTTTGTCTTGTTGTTGGGTGCGGTGATCGATTAAGTCACTGTTAAAGATAGTTTTCACCAGGTGACTCCGTAGTATATCTACAAAATTGAAAGATTTTTGGCTGTCTGATCGTAAAATATAAAAAGCACAATCATCTGAAGGCATCTTTCATATTATATTCAGGGATATTCTATGTGCTGTATAGTCTATATACAAATCCGCAATACCATTTTTTGTGGTGTATCTTTGATCGCAGGAACTATGACCCTTCGTGAAATGTACAGGCTGCACTTGTTTTATTAGGAGCTGGAGTGTTGGCCAAATATTCATAGCAGACAATAGCAGACTCTTTTGACCTCACAGCTAGCTTGCTGATAGTGACACAACATTTGCAACTTTCCTCACTTTTTCTATTTATACATGACTGTTTTAAAATTTGATTCGGACCGATTGGATCGATCCGAGTTGGTTATGCACTTGAACCGATTGATCCGATTTGAATTGGATCAAAACTAAGTTCAACTCATGTTGAAAAGGATTCATGTTAAATTATATTAAAAGGGCATGATCAACTTACACTGATATAAGAATAACAAGTCTTACATCATATTTTAACTATTGATTTTTTTGCATCTAACAATTGTAATTTATTGGGTTTCACTCATTAATTAATTATTAATTTTCAATAATCATAATCGTTAGATGCACGAAAATCGAAAACTAAAATTTAGTGTAAAACTTATTATTTTTATATCGATAAGTCCTATATATATATATATATATATATATATATATATATATATTTATACAGTCACTTTAGATAAGATTATCTACAGCTACCCAAAAATTATGTCGTTTTGATTAATGAAGGGTGTTTCTGTAATTTTAGGTAAGTTAATGAAGTGTGTTTCGGTAAAATGCATATGATAAAAAAATAAATAAAATCACAGAAATACCCTTCATTAATTCACCTAAAATTACAAAAACACCCTTCATTAATCAAAACGACGTAATTTTTGGGATAGCTGTAGATAACTTTATCTAAAACGGCTGTAGAAACATTTGGTCAAAAATTAGTAACGGATGTCAAAGAAGCCGATTGGGTTTTAAAAAAGGATGATTTATATATATATATATATATATATATATATATATATATATATATATGACAAAATGATTTCTGCAGTCGCTGTGTAACATCTCGAGCGCTGACGAGGGCGGGAAGTGATCGCCGGTGCAAAGAGGCACGGACAAGGAGCGGCTCCTGACAGGCTTCCAGCGGGGGTTACATGCATGAATGAATCGAATCGACACCCGAAAGAGAGGGATTCCAAAGACTGTGCAGGTATGAGACTTCACAGTTTGGGAATAGCTTATAAGAATTAATTGGTACTACCTATATTAACAACAAGATGCATCTACTTTTCGGTAGCCCGGAACGGAAGAACTCCACAGTTAAGCGTGCTTGACTTGGAGCTATTATGGGATGAGTGACCTCCTGGGAAGTTTTCCCGGAAAGTGTGCGAGTGAGAAAAAAGCACACTGAAAAGTCTTGTGTTAGTATGTGAGGATAGTCATTGATTCTTGAAGCTCTGCACCTACAGCAATCCAGGATACGGCACCGGATCCTGGTTTTTTTTTTTTTTAAAACGCTGTGGGGCCCACTTTTCTGTGTCAACTGTAGATAACACTCTCTACGGCAGCTGCAGAAATGATAAGCCCTATATATATATATATATATATATATATATATATATATATATATATATTGCAAGGAATGAGATTCAAAGTTGAATTCTCTTATTATATTACTTTTATTTGTTAGGCATAATATTTATTATTTAAATATTTATTATATATTATTTTAAGATTTTAGTTAAATCCAATTAAATTTGATTCAATTATTGACTCAGTGATCTAGTATTTTAACTGAGAATAACAAATCCAAATTTTAAAACACTGCTATCCAGTACTTCAGTAATATGCTGTATCAACCCCTCATTTAATCGCAAATAGCCGATGAGAATCTATATGCTTTTATTATTATTATTAGAAGAATATGACCGCTAATAGCGTTCAACTTGTCATATATTAATTTAGGGTTTTCGTTTTATCCTTTAACATAACACAACAAACTTTTCTACCCTCACAATATTTTGTTTGTGGGGCCCACACTTTTTAAAACAAAAAAATTAATAAAAAATTAAGGCACGCAAAACGAATCTCTATAACATTACACAATCACTTTTCCTACGACATAACTCTTATAAAACCCATTAATTTATCCTTGTGTAAGTTCAACTTGGCCATATATTAATGGGTTTTATAATTCAACATGAGAATTGAGATTTTCTTACATATTTTTTGATTTCTGTGTTGATATCAATTTTACATATTATTTTTTTTTAACATAAGTTTCACATGTTTTTTATCTCTATAATATAAAATTTCAATTATCATTCAACACGAGAATTATAAAACCTTATATTAATTTATCCAATGGTGTAAGAACTAAGAACCGACCGTGTTCCTGCAAATAGTAAAATAGGGCAAAGCATAAGCATATCTAATTAAAACGAAAATTTTCAATACTCCAATATTAATGTGGACTCAGTACTGCACCAATTAAAATTAGAAAAAAAAATACTGCACCCACTTCTTTATTTTGTAATGCTACATGAATTTATTTATTTGTAATTTTAGTGGGAAAAATGTACCCTAGAAGCACTGAAAATTTTACTTATTGAATTGTCTAAATCAAGCATTGAAAAAAAAAAAAAAAAAACTCAAGTGCCGCTAGAGGAAAAATATTTCAAGCGAAGAAAAGTTATTTAAGAAATTAAGTAGCGGCAAATGATCACTCAAAAAATAAAATATCCTGATTGATCACTCCATTTATTATATGCAGATATGCGATAAGGGAAGGAAATATGGCGGGATGCACACATGAGTACGTGCTCTTGTTTGTATAAAAATAGTGATTGAAGGATACGCGCTAATTGATTTATTTGGTTGATCTTTCACTTATGATAATTATATAAGTTAAGTTTAATTTTAACAGGCAATCCACAATTTAATTTGATTTTTTTTGTCTTGGGATTTGAAAAAAAAAAAAAATATTAAGTAACAGGAAGTAGAGGTGTAAATGAGCTAAGCCGATCTACAAGGCTTATGACCTAACCTATATTAGGTCATATTTGGCTTAATATAAATAGTAAAATAGAACATACCTAGATTTTAAAAAAAAATTATTTAGAAAATAGATCATAGACTTTTTGTACATGTCGGGCCTATAAGTTTACAGACCGGCCTATATCATATTATTTATTTTTTATGATTTTAATAATTTTGAATAATAAAATAATATTATTTTAATTATTCTTTTAATTATGGAATGCTTAACAACTTAAATAGGTTAACAGGCCTAAAACAAGACTTTTATTTTTTAAATATAAATCAGATTAAACTTGTAATTTAGGGCCTATATAGGCTGACATGTCATGACAGACTCAATATTTTTTGCACAAATCTAACTTATTTAAACCAAAATCTAGTCTAACCTAATCTATTTACACTCCTACCAGGAAACAGGGGCGGACCTACATGGGAGGCTAGGATGGGCCCCCGTTCCCCTCTTAAATATGAAAATATGTTCTACTATATGATATGAAACATGGTATGAAAAATAAAAAATTTGAAACTGCTTTTAAAAAGTGAAAGACAAGCGGTGCTATTCATAAGAAAAATGTTCCACTCGTTCATTGCACCCAATTAGAGATAACTATTATTTACCATATTCAACCTGCCAACATATATAGCAGGTTTTGTTTTTGGTCTGCTACCCTCCCCAGTCAATGTGGAAAGCTGATTTTTTCATTTTATACAAAAACGAGTTCAGTTAGTAATGCATATCAATCTACTTGTCAAATTTATCTAGAATTCGATTTTATATTAATTGATTATCTAATTTTCTATTTATAATCATTAAAAATTTGTACAGATTGTCATATCAAAACTCAGAAGAAGAGTATTTAAGTTTTGACTTTGATGGCAAAGAAAAAATGTCAATAATAATTATCAATTATTAGTTGGGACCAAATGCTAAAAATAAATAACACATTAAATAATTTAATGCTTCTGCTAAATAACAGTTAAGTGATAAAATAAGATTCCAAAAAAATCAAAGAAAGTGCAATTATAACACCAGAAAGTATGAAGGTAAACAATAAAAAATTGATCTTACAAATAAAATATAAGGTCTTAATGCTAATTCTTCATTGAAATAGAAGATGTATTGGACCACTGTTATCGAAAGCAAAAAACTAACATTTCAACTAAAAAATTGGCAAATTTTTTTGTAATTTTGTTAGATTCTTCTTAAAAGATATTTTTGTATTTTTAATAATATAAATTTTCACCTCCTCTCATATAATTTTCAGAGTCCATCACTGCCAGAAAAGATGTCCGGTTGTCATCACTCTATGTGAAACTGTGTATATGTTGAAAGTATTTCACAAAAAGCTTATCATCACAGACCAAGATGTTGAAATCAATAAAAATTCATTCAGATCATGTGTCAATGAAAGCATTGTCTCATGTCAATAAGACATCACCACAGTCGGCATCAATCACCACTTGTGATTAACTTAGTAAAAAAGAGAAAAAGTGAAGATAAATAGCACATATTTCAAAACTTTTAACAGTAGAATTTAAAACTAATTTTCCCCAAAAATTTTACTTGAAAACGCTATATTGTGTTTGTAACATAATTAAGAAAAATCCTAAGTGTTAAAAAATTTCCCTGCTTCTCATCTTGTTACCAGTCAAAGTCAACATTGAAAAACAAGAAACGTATGCATTTTGTGATTGTGTTCACGAAATTAATTATCTGATCACATGACAAATAACATTAATATACTCAACTAGACCTACCTTATCGAATCAAATTCATAAAACATTATCTCAGGGTACATAAATTTGACATATTCCACTTCTTCCCCAACTTACAAATATGCATACACATATAGAGACATTGTTTTTATTGTTGTTATTATCTATCCTATCTTATTGTACTGTAAAAAGAAAAGAAAAAGCATAGACGTGTAAACGTTCAAGGCATTCTATTCCACGTGGTGAATTCGAACATCGACACGTGTCCTGTTGTTGAGTGATGATAAGAACCAACGGTGATGAAAACTGGCACCAACTCTAATTAATGAAACGTCTTATAAAAACAACACGTTCGGTACAAACTTGACTGGATGACACGTCACTGGACCCCACATTTCAGGAGATATTATGAGATCCAACTCACAGCTGACTCAGTTATGACAATTAACCAGCCTAGGTGGGCCCAAACAATTCATATACTATGTCATTTGTTTTCCTAAATTAAAGAGACATGATAATATATATTATTATCCTGTCTCTGTTTTTTCTTTTTTATTATTAAAGTATATGCATAGTAACATATTCATTAAAAAAAATTGAAAAAACTTCAAAAAAATTTCTATAAATTTTTTTAATTATCACTTACCCCTTCAAAACAATTTTTTATATCTTTATTTAAATTTTCTTATTACTTATTTTCATACTTAAAAGTTTTTTATTACTTATCCCTTTAAGTGAGGGGTAAAAATTTAAGTTAGAAAAATAAATAATTCAAAATTTTAAAAACCGAGATAAATGATCATGAAGAAAATTACTGCGATTTTTTTTTTTTTGAAATTTTCACAAAAGTTTTTAATATATACGTATCATTGATTATTTTAAATTATAGATATGTTATCCTACGTAAGGTTCCACTTATATTAAGCTACTCACATTGCAAAACCAAATTCTTTCCATGATGAGACTATGTTGTCCTCTTTAAGATTGTCAACTTTGGTGGTACTTTCTTAATCAAAAGGTTTAAAATGGTGGAAATACTAGTTATTATACGGAGAAATAATGGTTGATAAACATGTTTGTATTAAAAATATGGGAAGGAAGAAAATGAAAAGTTGTAAGGTTTTCAGGAAAGGACTTGGGAACTCCCAATTCTCAGGGAAGGACTCTCCGGCCAGTTATAAATAGGAATCTTTCAACAATCATGCCACCCCACATCAAATTCATCCTCTTTTTGTGCTTGTATCTCTTTTCTTTGTTATTATTCTCTTTCACTTTTCTCAAACTCTCTCAAGAGTCAACATGACTATCCTCATAGAGCAACCCGATTACTTTGGTAATTTTTTTAAGCCCTTTTTATATTTTTAGCAAAATTTATTATTATTTTTCCTCTTGGAATCACAGAGAAAAATCTATGTTTTAGTGTCATATGTTTAATTATCTGTCTAATATGACAAAAGAAAAAAAAATGCTTTTGTCTCTACTTTTAGTTTAAGATTAAAATGACTTTTCTGTTATTTTTCATGAATGTTGTACCATTGTCCCCTTATAGTAGTTGGAGCATAATCTTTGTTTTTTTTTTGCACTGAAGCTCTTTGATTGATTTGGAAACGTAAAGGGTATACAAAATTGTGTTTTTTTGGATTTAATAGTTTTTAAAAATTTGCAGGGGCTGTTGTAGAGGCAAAGACTGAACCAATAAATGAGAAAGAACTGGTGTTGGATGGTGGATTTGTGATACCACAGACCAACTCATTTGGCCACACATTTAGGTTCACATCTTCATAACCTATTCACTGCTGTGGTGCCACAAAGCAATTATGCACTATTACACCCTTGCGCTTTCAAATAAAAGGGACTCTTCAAACTTTCTTATCCAAAAAGGAAAAAGGAGAAAAAAAAAAAAAAGATTACAAAGGGACTTGATGATAATTTTAAATTCTCAATCATTTTTTTTCAGCGTTAATTTGAGTTTTATTACTAAAGATAAATGAATATTAATGGAGGTATCGTATAATATAAAAAAAAATTGAAATATTAACTCCTTCAAATACTTGAATATTTTGTGCTTTCCTTCCCTTTCATTTTATTTTGTGCTTTTAACTTCTTTTATTTTATTTTTCCTTTTTAGGACAGAAAAGGTTTTCATTTTAAAATTGGTAGTAGCAACTAGCAAATTAGCAATTCACCCTTTTTTTCTTCTTTTTCTGGTTTGGGCCCAGTTTTTCTTGCCCCTTCTCTGATCTTCAGCCCAGACCCATCTACTCTTTCCCTTTTTTTATTTTTTAATTCTAGTCATATATATTTTATAGTGAGGAAAAAACGTAATTTTTAAATATTTTTATTGAATTTTAGGACTTCAGTAGTGTATTTCATTACAAAAGTAATATAAGATGCGTCAATTTTATAATAGTTTTAAGGTACATTACAACTCACTAGATTTTTTTTTTTTAAATCCTGTTACTCTTTTCAAAACATTTTTAAATTTCTTCAAAATTAATATAAATTAACGCACAAGGCATCACTTTTGGAAATATACCATTAAAATCGGTTGTAAGCTTATTTCTTTATAGTGATGTTTTTACTTTTACAGATGAAATAATCATATTTTGGTTCTTCTACATTTTTTTTTAATTGATGTAAGAAAACTAAAAAAATTAGAGCTATTAGTCTTTTCTAGTAACATTTGCTAAAAAGAAAATTAAAGAGATACTTCTTTTATTTTACATGCCCATTTCAACTTCGCATCACTAAAATTCTGAATATGAAAACTTATATATTCTTTGTAGTTCTGAATATTAAAACTTATAGATTCTATCTTGACATGTTAAGAGTTATCTTACGAGTGACAAACCCTTGTAAATCAGGGATTATGATGCTGAAAGTGATAGGCAAGAAGGAGTGGAGAACTTCTACAGAAAAAATCACATTTACCAATCCTATGATTTTGTAAGTATCTACTAGAAAAATTTCATTTACTATTTTTTTTTCCTCCCACCTCAACTTATATTTCCTTCAGAAAAATTAGCACGACACATTTGCTACAATTTGGGTTAGGGTTCGTTTTTTTGTCATATCACATGACAAGACCATTTTTCTACACACACAAATCAAGTGTGGGTCCCACGCTTAAAAAAAAAAGTCAAACCAAAATCAGTATACAGCGCCGTATCCTCAAGATACGGTTCCGGATCTTTGTTGCAGGAATGAACAGTGTCATTCCTGCAACATGATTCTTATATTTCCCTTTGGGTTAGCATGTTTTAAAAACTATGAAGGGTTGTGGAATATGGTATTAATTTGAACATTATATATCTTATACAGGTGAAGAAAATGAGAGAGGAGTATGCAAAATTGAACAGGGTAGAGATGAGCATATGGGAATGTTGTGAACTCCTTAATGAAGTTGTGGATGAGAGTGATCCTGACTTGGATGAACCTCAGATTGAGCACTTGCTTCAGACAGCTGAAGCTATAAGGAGGGACTACCCAAATGAAGATTGGTTGCACTTAACTGGCCTCATCCATGGTAGTCTCTACTTTCTAAAGATCCCTTTACATTGCATTGCACCTTATAACTCTATAACTTAAAAAGATATCTATTTATCTACCAGAAGTTTACTGTGCTAAATTTTTTGCATTTTTGGTTTAATATGGACAATTGGAAATGGAAAATAGGAAATTCCTTGAAATTTTTTGCTTCTTATGCCACAAGCATTTCAATGCAGATCTTGGCAAGGTGCTTCTGCTTCCTAGTTTTGGAGGACTTCCTCAATGGGCTGTTGTAGGTAATTATGATGTTTGATATATATATATATATATATATTTATACTTGAGTTTGAAAGTTTATATCTTACATCTCGTTTGCAATTTCTAGTTGAAGCTATACTCTTTAATATTTACTATGCTCCTACAGGTGACACATTCCCAGTTGGTTGCAGATTTGATGATTCCATTGTTCACCCCAAGGTAATCTATCAACTCATTTTCTTTTTGGATGGAGGATAAACAATTTATTAAAATTAAACACCTGACATATATAACGTTGCATTCCCATTTCAGTATTTTAAGGAAAATCCAGATTATAACAATCCTGCATACAACACTAAATATGGGATTTACTCAGAGAAATGTGGACTTAACAATGTGATGATGTCATGGGGACACGATGACTACATGTATCTAGTAAGCCCTTGGAAAACCTTATAAAACAATTTTATTTTATTTATGTCGGATATTTAATGATATTATTTCACAAATTGTGAAGGAAAGGTCTAAAATTTAAGTGCTGTATTCAGGTGGCAAAGGAGAACAAGACTACTCTGCCTTCAGCAGCTTTGTTCATTATCAGATACCATTCATTCTATGGTAAGTCTAACTTAGAAACAAAAGGTACCTTTTCCAAAAGTTCATAGCAGAAATGGTCCATTTGCAACCTTATTTGATACACTGGTTTGTTTTGCAGCTTTACACAGGGACGGAGCCTATAAGCACTTTATGAATGATGAGGATGTTGAGAATCTGACATGGCTCCACATTTTCAAGTAACATTACATGATTTATTTTTTCTCATTCTTTTATTAAGTATATGGATAAATGGCGGTTGGCTATTAAGTCTGAAAAGATTTGTTAATGTTTTTCTCTAACTTTGTTATACATTCATTCACATGCAGCAAATATGACCTGTACAGCAAAAGCAAAGTTCGAATTGATGTTGAAAGGGTCAAGCCATACTATCTCTCCCTCATTGAAAAGGTCAGCACCGCTCTGAAACTTTTATTTCATTTTACTCCAATTGAAGTTTGAAGTTTGTACTAATGTATGTGTCTTTCTATGGTGCATGCAGTACTTCCCTGCAAAGCTGAAGTGGTGAAATGTTGGAGCCTTGAAGCGCCAATAATTTAGCATGATAGCCAATTAGTTTAGTTGGATTAGAGGGAATAAACTATTAAGCTGTAGCAGCAATAATTTATATGCTTTGGTTTCTTTTATGAAATAATATTTGTAGTCAAGCTATTATGTGAATTGTTTTCTACTTCTTTTTCTGTTTTTAGTCACTTTAGGCACTTCCTCTTTTTCTGGTTTCTTCACAAAGAATTCAACTAGGGACTCGACAAAGAATTTGATCATTTAGCTTGAAAAGGAAATATAAATTTTAAAATGAAACAAATTATATTTAGAATGAAAGACATTTCATTTCAAAGAGTTCTGTTCTTCATCAGTAGAGTGAAAAGAAGCCACATGAAAACTTTATTTGGTTTAATTATTTGCATTCTAAACAGATTTCAAAGAAATGGAAACTCAAATATGAAAAGAGATATCTCTATCTCCAACAGATAGATGTATCAAAATGCCAAGCATTACACTTGAGATTTGCTACCGTGGCTAGCTATGTAGCCACAATGTAACATTTTTCTTTCAATGCCAACCTCTGTAACATTGAATATATTGAACAGTATAAATCTCCATTTATATGAAACTAAATAATGAAAAATATCATAAGTTTTTGCAAAGCTCTCTATAGATCACACAAACTGATTGTTTTCACTTTTCACATCAGCTTAACTAACCAGTATAAGAGTTTGGAATGTTTCAATAAAATTAAAAGGAAAATGACTATGACACGTCATTCATTGTCTCTCATTTCTGTTATTAGAAATAAGTGGTAAAAATTATATAAATATTAATAGATGTGTCGATGTATTTAATACTATTCAAAACATGACTTTATGTTACTTCGATTGAATTTGTCGGGACAGGCCAGTCTTTTCCTTTAAAAAGTGGAAAACTCTTGGATTATTTACATTCAGTGTGGAATTTTGCGTAATGAGACAACTGCATAGCCACGCACAATGCCTTCAGAATCAAGTAAGGATCATTTGATAGTTGACAAGATTTTGGACTCCATTTTTATGCATTTTTACCTTGAGCCACACACATCGTTATCTCAGTTAACCAATGATAAACCATCTGTCTACAAGAAAGCTAGCCACAATGAGTTTCTTCACTTCCTCTACTCGGTTTTTCCACTTTATCCCCCCAAGCACCAAACACTATGGCGAAGAAGCCTTCTCCCCTTTCAACTCTTTTCCTCCTGATTTCCCTTGTCTTGGTTCCAAGTTCAGAATCCGGAATTGTCACATACTGGGGCCAAGATGGAAGGGAGGGAACATTAACAGAAGCATGTAACTCTGGACTTTATGAAATCATCAACATAGCATTCCTCAATAAATTTGGCAACGGCCCAAGTCTAGGAATTAATCTAGCAGCTCACTGTACCCCTCCAAATTGCCAAACACTAAGCCAAGGCATAAGAACTTGCCACATGAAAAACATCAAGGTGATGCTCTCAATTGGGGGTTCTATTGGGAGCTATACGTTATCATCTGCACAAGATGCAAGGCAAGTCGCAGACAACATATGGGACAGCTTTTTGGGGGGGATGGAGTGGACTTTGACATAGAAGGAGAGGGTCGTGGTGATCCAGCCAACTATGCTGAACTTGCTAGGAGACTCTCTGAGCGTAGTCGTCAAGTAGCCAAGAAACTTTTCCTAACTGCTGCACCACAGTGTCCATTCCCTGAATCATCTAGTCAAAAATACATAAGTACAGCACTATCTACAGGGCTTTTTGACTATGTTTGGATACAGTTTTACAATAACAAGCAATGCGAGTTTAACTCAGGCAACCCCAACAGCTTTCAGAACTCATGGAACCAGTGGACCTCATCTATAAGGGGAGGCAAGTTCTATGTTGGACTTCCAGCATCTCCAGCAAAAGAAGCAGCTGGTAGTGGTTATGTGCAACCAGAAACAGTCATAAGTCAGGTGGTGCCTTTTGTCAGAAAATCAACCAAGTATGGAGGTGTTATGCTCTGGAATAGGTACTACGACAAACTAACTGGATATGGTGGCAAAATCAAGGGCAGAGTTTAAAGCCTGTCCCCAAAAGCTTGCTTAAGCCTTTACTAGTAAATAAATGTCAGCCCTGTAAAGTTAAAGGGCAGAGGCAATAGGGCATGCAGGTATTTACCATATGTAATCTATATGTAAGTAATTAAACTCAAGCACCTGGCTGAAAAATAACCCAAGGACTTTTCATATTTCTTGGAAAGTGAATTGTTACTATGTGGAAGTGCTGATGTCAAGTAAAAAAACTCAAAATGAGATCAATCAAGATGGATTGATCTTTACTTGAGTTTACGAGCCACAAGCCATAACTTAAAAATTCTTAGTAAAGATCATTTCTCACAGGGTGGATTCCACACATATGACCTATCTAACATCGATACCGACACTGACACGTGACACAACATTTCGACACGTTAATTCTAACAAATATTAAATTTCGACACGTTATGACACATTTTGATATTAAATAATATTTTTAATGTATATAATGTATATTATATTTAATATTCAATAATTTAACAAAAAAATAAAACTATTTCAATTTTGAATTTCTATAACACGTATTGGAGTGTCGGGTCGGGGAGTGTCGAAGTGTCGCACAGGACACGTCAAAATTGTTAAGTGTCGGTGGTTCAGAGCATATAACCACATTTTTTCTTGGCATCCACTCTATCAAAGAGCTTCCTAATTTCCTTAATCACTCACCACATTTTTCAGCCATTTCATCAAACAGTTTCCGTGCATAATCAAAAAATTGCAGCGATTCAACAGTTCAATTTTAAGAAATTTGGATCCAAATCAAAATAAAACTTAGAGAACTAAAATAAAAATCAGACAATAACAGAGCGGCCTGTAATAAGTGCCAGACCCTCAACAAAAGTTATTGTTTGATCTGCCGGTGTTAGAAGACCACAATATTGGACCTTTTGGGGTTAATGCTCTCAATGGTGAATCGATCATTCGATGATAAACTTCTTTTCCTTCTGTGATAACGGAGCGGAAGAAAAGTAACGAAACCCGCAATGGCTACTGCATAACCTCCTCTAACTTTATCAATAATAAAGCCTTTTACCTTTGTATTCGTTCGCCAAATCTTGTTGAGTTCCATCCAAGCTCGGTTTTGTCTGAATCTTCGTGGAAGAAGAAGATCATCATCAGTGATTTCCGATCCAACCAAATCATTGAACCTGGCTGCTGCTCGCTCTTTGATAAGTGATTCGCCAGCCACTAGATCGATGAAGAATCTCTCCAAAATCTTCTTTCTGATCTGTGGTGATTCACCTCCGGCCACTAGATCCATGGATCCTACCTTATTCTCAAACCTGGTGATGGATCGGTTTGTTGGCACTCTTGTAAGCTCATCTTTCAAACAAATTCTGGGGGTGCCAGGTCCAGCATCCACCAAGAACTTTTCTTCACCTAAGCGTAAAACTTGAGATTGTAAGGCCTTTCCACTAGTTAAGAATAAACTTGAATTAGATCTTGGAAATAATCGACTCATGTAGATACTCATCGTATAACTCAGCTTTTTTTCCTTCCTCCTCTTCCTCTATTCTAAGGTAGAATCGATTTGCCATTTCCCCCTTTCCTGCCCTAACTATTTATATTCCTACGGATAAAAATTAGGGTTTTTTTATTGTGTTTTGTTTTTTTTTTTATTATTATTATTCATAAAATTATTGGGAAAAACATATATCATTTTAAAGGATATAATCTTATATCATTTTAGATCCTAACCGTTGATTTTCATCCATCAACGGTTATAATCTATTGGTCAAACTTAATGGGCCAAATTTATTATTAATTAATTAATAATTTTGATCCAATAAATTATAACCGTTGATGAACAGAAATCAACGATTAAGATCTAAAATAATATAAACTTACATCCTTTTAAACGACAGATGTTATTCCCAAAATTATTTTGTAGAATACTACGTAAATAATTTTATTTATTTTTAAAGTTAAAAGTTAATTTACAAAATAAAAATAATTTAAATATATTCCCTAAATTTGATTTTAAAAATAATAAAATATTTATAATTTTTAATTTTTTTAACAAAAAGAACCTTATCAAATAAATTCTTTAATTCTCAAAACCAAAAAACTGTTCTTAGAAACTGTATTCAAACAAGACCTAAGGGCCCGTTTGGTAACAGAATTTTTTTTTGTTTTCCTAGGATTTCTTGGTTGGGTAAGAGCCTGTTTGGATCCTCTTATTTTTAAGCTAGAAGCTACTTATAAGATAAAACTAAAAAAACAACTTAAAAAAAGAAGCTAAAAGCTGTTTGGAAATTACATAAAAAATTTAGCTTAAAAATTACTTAAATGCACATATTTCAAGAAAATTATCTCTCTGTATCTTTATCACTCTTCATTTTAAAAGAAAGCACACAATTCAAGAAAAACAGATACGAGTTTAAAAAAAAGCTCCTCCAAGGAGCTTTTAGTTTTCAGCTTTTTTCTTCATTATAAAAAAAAGAGCTTTTCGTTATAAGAGTTTTTCCCAAAATCTGTTTAGCCTAGCTTATGCTTATAAGTAGTTTCTAACTTAAAAATAAGAGGATCCAAACAGGCACTAAATAGGAATGCATCGTTTGGTACACGATTTTTAAAATTTTCCTGAAAATCTGATTTTCTCGGAATTTTATTTTGTGTGTAAATTTTTTTAAAAAAAAAAACCATCCAGGAATACCATCCAGAAGGTGGTATTTTAGGATTTCTATGATAAGGGAAAATTTAATACAACTAAACATAGCATCAAGAAAATTAACCCAATATTCCCAGAAATATGTTAGTCTACCAAACAATTTTTTGATAACATTTCCAGAAAACTCATTTTCTCATCATATTCCTAGAAATCATGGTTCTTGGATAAAAAAAATTTCTCCTCTACCAAACGCCCCCTAAGTATCTAATGTAACACCCCGTTCTAGAACCGGTTTGTTAACATCGCATTATGATATTAAGCGCAGTTACAATCACATTGGCTCAATTAAAAATCCGGATAAATTTTTCTTTTTAAAACGACGCCGAATTTAAAATATCCAATTGCGTGATCATAACCATATTTCCTTGCGGAATCAGATAAATCAAGCTTAACATCATGTTCTTATTCCATTTTTAAACCATTAATTTACTTCTTATTTATTTCACAACTTCTACTATATTGTAGATCTCTTCGTTAGCTACGCGTGGTTTCAAACCGCTCCTCATTTGGAGCACTGTAGCCCAAGTTATGACAATTGGAAGCAACACAAGAGGGTGTTGATCACAGGCCCCGCGCGCTACCGGGCGCTTAAGCGCGCGTTATCGGGCGCTAAAGCCTCCATCTGGGCGCATAAGCGCACGGAGGCAGGAAGCATCAGGTCTTTCAGTATAAATGGGCGCTTAAGCACTCACCAGGACGCTCAAGCGCGCTATCCTGGGCGCTTAAGCCCCCATTTGGGACGTTTTAGCGCGCAGAGGTAGAAACATCTCCTCTTTCAGCGGCTAAGGGCGCTCAAGCGCGAACCAGGGCGTTCAAGCGCGCAACCCTGGGCGCTTCAGCCCCCACTCTGGGCGCTCTAGCGCGAGGAGGCAGAAAGCATTGGCTCTCACAGGGGCAGCAGGGCGCTAAAGCGCGCTGCCAGGGAATTCCAATACCCTCATTTTTCAAGTCTAAGTCTAGGGAAAAATGCATCCTCATTCCAAACCCCAATGGTTCATGCCTCAAAACTTAATCCTAGCACTTACCCAACCTCTCCTCATGAGATTTAGCTAGAATTTGGGCAGCATAACCTTTGTTTTCTCAACGTTTCCCAATTTAAACAAAAGGTACCTAATTGATTCTCAGCCCAACCAATTCAATAACTCAATACATAACAAGCATGCATATATTGAATTTCAAGTAGGCATCATTTACAGTACATATTCATTACAAATCATGGAACTTAGCTTACAAAACACTATGATCATTCCCTTGGCTCCCATCAACAAAAGAGATGCCCAAAGGCATGAGCATAGGCTAAGTCCATTCCAATATACAAATCATAAATCTATCATTGCCTATTAATTACAATTCTATACATGTGAGCTACAAAACAACATGTATAATCTTAAAAAAATGCAACACTTCATATATATGCTAATCCAGATATGGCCACTTGCCACCAGAGGCTCCTGCAGCATCCTTACCTGAAAGGGGGTCCCCACAACACGGGGTGAGATATACGAATATATCCAGTAAACCAGGGGTCCTTGGAGCATCTCTCCACCCCACAGTTCCATATCAGTGTAATAGCAATAACAATAATAATGCAGTAAATACATATGTATGCAAAGTGCAATAACATCTCCAAGAGAAATCCCTCGAGCTCTCAAGCTGTCCTAAGGAAACTCATATGCAAATAGTCCTACTGGCCAGCTAACTACCAAGTATGATTTACGCATCGTCATGCAACATACCAACATAGGGAAACACCATCCTATGCCACACCAAATGCATACACCTACATATAACAAAGCATTACACTATTTTATTGCATTTATATACACAATCACAACCTCCACTCTTTCAGGGCTTGGTGGAACAGTCAAGGGAATTACACCCAAGGTTCGAAGGCTTACCTCAAGCTTCAATTCGACCTTTGTTCACCACCCACGGATTCTACAGTCAGTCAATTACAATACTCCACTTCTCAAACAAAACCTACACAAGGTTTAATGCAATTAACACATATTGCATTCAATAACATCTCATAGCTATCAACCAAGCTATCCAATTCATACCAAACATAAGCATGAACTTACCTATCCAATGGAGCTAATCAAGCTCCATAGCTTGCTCCAATGGTTGATCACTCACGGTTGGTCCAAATGTCTCAATCCTAGACATCACAAGGACACAATCATCAATCAACCAAGTCAAACCATTGATCATAATTGCAAGAAAACTCTTCAACAAGCATGATAATCTTGCAATATACCAAGTATAGTCATTTAACTAACTAGGCTCATTTTTACCGATTAAATGACATTCCTAACATTTTTCTCAACATGTGCTAAGTCTCAATTCTACCACTACATAGCCAATTTACCCAAATTCTCACAAAACCCATAACACTATTCATTCAAAATCCTATATCATGAAATTTCCAAGAAAACATGGTTCAAGGGTTAGAATCTTACCACCAATGGTCACACAACCAAGGATTGATGGCACCTCAAGCTTCCATGGAGGTAGAAACTCTCAAACACCTCAATTTCTCCAAAGGGTCGAATTTTTGAGGGGAAATATCTCACCCCACAAAGCTCCCCACTAAGAACTAAGTTAGGATTATGATAAAGGGGAAGATTTAGAGTGGTTTAGGCTTTTGAATCACCCAAAACGGTTAAGGTTTCCTCCCTCCTCTCTCTCTTCTTCTTCTTTCTGGTGCCTCTGTTTCTCGGCGGGGAATTGGGGAAAATGGGGCTCCTTTTTTGTTTTATGCCACTTAACCTTATGTTAAGTGGTTTTAAGTGGGTATCGGTTCATCTATCTATTTAACTCCAATAATTACCAAACTTCACCCAAAAGTCTGGAATATTATTCTAGGAACATTTCCACTTTTATTTTTATATTTAGGGTACTTTTTTCCTACACCCATTTATACCCCTTAATTTTCACTGAGTACACTTTTTAACTTCAAAGTGACTCAGATTCATTTAATTAAGCTTTATACTTAATTTTACTCACTTAAACATGCTTAATTATTTAATTACATGTAATTTGCTAATTAATTAGGTTAGGGCTATTATAGTCACCCCACCTTTTAGCGATTTTGTCCGCAAAATCAAGAACATATCTGTCCTTAAACTCAGGATATTGCCGGAGAAGCTCATCTTCCCGCTCCCAAGTGGACTCTTCAGGCGTCCTTCCTTCCCATTGGACTTTCACCATAGGAATAGATTTATTTCTCAGCTTCTTCTCATCTCTTTCGAGTATCTTCAGTGGCCCAATATGAGTCTTCAAATTCTCCCGGATCTCAACATTATCAGGTTGAACCACATGAGAAGGATCAGCTACATATCTCCTCAGCTGAGAAACATGAAACACATCATGCAAATTTGCCAATTGAGGAGGTAAGGCAAGCTGGTAGGCAACCGGTCCCACCCTACGAAGAATCTGGTAGGGTCCAATAAATCTCGGACTCAGCTTCCTCACTCCAAGGGCTCGTCCAACACCCGTAACCGGTGACAGCTTCAGGAATACATGACCTCCCTCCTCAAACTCTAGAGGTCGATGCTTGAGATCATAGTAACTTTTCTGACGATCCTGAGCCTTTTTCAGACGATCCCTAATCATTTTGATCTGTTCAGTAGTCTCGTGAACAAAATCCAATCCAAACCGCTCTGTGTCTCCAACCTCTGACCAACAAGTAGGTGTCCTACACCTGCGACCATACAAGGCCTCGTAGGGAGCCATACCCAGACTAGCATGAAAACTATTATTATAGGAAAACTCAACCAGCGGGAGATATCGATCCCATGCAGTACCCTGCTCCAGGGTGCAAGCCCTCAGCATATCCTCCAACGTCTGAATGGTCCTCTCAGTCTGA